TTAACTGTAGATACCATTTGAACCTGAGTATTAAACCTATGCTATAATTCAACCAATCATTCAAGGATGGCTTGCATTTGGTGTTCTGCGTGGCTACAAGAGAGAAAATTCTCCTTCAGGATACACTTAAAAGTTTTTAGGTTGTTTATGCATGTCAGGAACAGGAAAATTGAGTCTTTGAGCTCATTCTTTTCCTTTATTACTTTGTCCAGAGTTGCTAAGAGCAATTAGCCATCATCATTATATTTCTTAGTCTTCCAAAATTATTCAAAAGTGTCATGTATAGAGTCACTAAATTCCTTGCAGGTCACAAGTGGTGAATTAGGATAATCAAATGGATCTACGTTGTGTATTACTTCAAACAGTTCACACCATGGACTATCAGTATTCTCTACATTATCAGAAATAAAGACTATAGCAACTCTAGGTCTTATCAAACTACAGAGACCACCACAGAAACTGAGTAGAGAACTTCATCCTTACAATTCTGTTTCTCTAGAAAGATGCCATTCTCTGTACAGATATCTGCACTGATTAAAGTTCCCTAGAGTAGGGTTCTGCCTCCTATCTGGTCAGCAGCAACATTAGATTCTCACAGGAACACAAATTCTATGGTGAACTGCTCATACAAAGCATCTAGGTTGAGCACTTCTTGTGAGACTCTAATGCCTGAGGATTTGCCATGGAGCTGAGGTGGTGATGTTAGCACCGAGGAGAGGCTGCAAATACAGATTCACATTAGCAGAGACCAGAATAAATCTATTGCTTGCAGACTTATATCAAAACCCTATCAGTGAGTAACAAGTAACAAGCTGCATCTGGTGGCAGGCTTTAAGTCAGAATCCAACACTTATTTTAGTCTGTGGGTGGCCTGTCCATTATTTTATTTACCACTTTCACCTGCATTTCTTTCCCATACTGCACAAATGTCTCAGTCACAATTTTGGGAACCTCACAAGCTGACTCTAGCCAAAATGAGCAAAAGACAAATGTCACTGGAGAGCTTTGAAAAGGAGGAAAGACCTAATGATGAAAGAACAGAAAGCTCTAAGTCAGCCAACAAAAAGAAAGCTGCATTTAAAAGAAAATACCAAGGATCCTACTTAAATTATGGCTTCATACCAACAGGTGGTTCACATTTTCCAAGCCCTTTGTGTAATACATGATGATTGACTATCCAATGAAGCCATAAGACCTTCAAAACTTCCTTGCCACTTGGAGACCAAGCACCCTACAGTAAAAGACACACCTTTGGAGTTTAAAAAATAGCATGAACATGAAGAACAGAAGCAATTACCGAAGGTCACCACTTCACCAAATCCATTTGCATTGAGAGCATCATTTGTAGGGGCTAACCATATTGCTAAAGCTAAGAAATCTTTTACTACTGGTGAAGAGTTGATCTTGCCTGCTGTTAAAGACATTTGACCTGAACTTTTAGGAGAGGTTATGGTTCAAAAAATGGCACATGCTCTTCTTTAAGCCAGCACCCTAACTGTAGAAATGGATGAAATAGAGGCTACTAAGACATAATTGTTAGAGAGGATTAATGAGTCATATGATATGCAATCCAGGTTGATGAGTCTACCAATGTTGACAAGCCAACAATGCAAGTTGTTGTGTGCCATATTTTTCAGGAGTATGTGCATGAAGATATGTTCTGTGCAGTTTTGCTGCCAACCAACACCATAGCTGCAGGCCTATTCAAGTCTTTGAATGACTACATATCAGGAAATTTGAACTGGTCACTTTGTGTCAGTATATGCACAGCTAGAGTGTGACTGGCTGGCTTTCTGGTTTCACTACTCAGATTCACAAATAGATTGCTCCTCAAGATGAATTTCTGTACTATGTCATCTGTAGAGAAAATGCTGGCTAGCCAAAAATGTCTCCTGCACTTAACAACTTTGTCCAGGATGTGATTAAAATTATCGGCTACATAAAAGCACATGCCCTTCACTCATGTCTGTTTGCAGAACTCCTTGAGGAGATAAACACAGACTACATATGTCTTCTGTTACATACAGAAGTGAGATGGCTTTCTAAAGGCAGCTCGCTGGCCAGGGTTTTTGAGTTTCAAGAGTTGCTCCAGAAATTTCTTTTAGAAAAATAGCACTGGCGGCACATTTCAGTGACACAGAATGGCTTGCAAAACTGCTTACTCATGTAACACATTCAACCCACTCAACAAACTCAACCTGTCATTCCAGGGGAGGACAACTGTGCTCAAGTTGGAAAGTAAAGTGGCTGCATAAAAGCCACACTGGAATTATGGTAGTGATAAATGAACTTCAAACATTAGCAGAGATTTTGAAAGAGACTGAGCCAGGACCTTCTTTGTCCCTACTGGTGCGTGATCGCTTATCTCAGCTTTCAAGAGTTTGAACATTTCTTCCCAACCACAAAAGATTCTTGAACAGGGAAGGGGTGGATCCATGACCTGTTTGTGAATAAGGCAAGTGAATAGACTTTGTGCTAGAAGAAGATCAGCTGCTGGAGACTGCAAATGACAGTGGCCTTAAAAGTATGTTTGAGACAACTTCAAATCTCCACATATTCTGTATCAAAGCCAAGGAAGAATATCTTGAGATTGCTACAAAAGCACCGGAAAGCCTGATTCCATTCCCAATATTCTGTCTTGGTGAAGCAGGGGTTTTTTGTTTGTTTGTTTGTTTGTTTTTTCCGTGACAGCAACCAAAATGAGATTATGGAGTAGACATAGCACACACTTTAGACCAAAGGCCTGGAAGCTCCCTGGAGAGCTGGTATGAGTCTGATTTAAGAGGCTAAAGAAGCTGGAACCTGATGGCCACAGGTGATGGCAGTAACAAAGGATGGGCTCACTCAAGCAGAATGGGACTTTTCAAGCATGAGCTGACCTGCTTCTCCTTTCCCTTCCATTCCACCCAGGCTACAAACCTATGGACGCCGGCATCCACATTTGGAGGGGTCTTTCCCCCTCAGTTTGCTGGCCTGCATGCCAATTACCCCTGGAAATACCCACAGACCCACCCAGAGGGTGCTTTACTAATCAGTGAGGTATTTCTTAATCCAGCCAAATTGACTTCACCATGAACAGTCACACCTGGTATCTGGCTTAGGTTTCAGAAGGGTGTGCTGAATCGGCTGAGGTGTGCTACCATTTAACAGATGTGGAAACTGAGGCTCATTAAAGCTCAGTTCCTTGACTGTTGCAGGTTCTCAGGCTTTTTACTATTGATGCACCGGGCTATAAGAGGCCTCCCAAAATTTACTCCTTCAGGAGAAAAATTGCGGGGGGCATAGGGAGGAAATGGGTTCTTTTTTCTTTCAAGTTCCACAGCATCTTACACATAGATCACTTGGTGAACTCATGGATGGAAAATTCTATATGGTTAGATAAATGTGAGAAAAGTGAGCAGGAATTGGAGAAGGAAAGATGGAAAAGGAAAGAATATGAATAGAGAAAATTAAGACAAATTATGAAACACCAGGACACAGGGGAAGAAGGCTCTTGTGACATCTTACAGGTGACTCAGACAGCAGAACTCAGCTCATGGCCATGCTGTGAAAGTTTAATCTTTCTCTGTTTCACCTTCGGATTCTTTTGGTAGGTCCCGGGGCTCACTCCTTTATCCTGACTCCATTAATAGGGCGGGATAACCTGTGAGCCTCTGCTGCAGTGAGCGGGGAGGCAGGGAGCTCGGCCCCAGGACACCCTGAGATGAGAGGAGCAGAAGCCCCACAGAGCGGAAGGATCCTGCCCCCGCCTGAGTGAGGGTGCAGAGGCGCCCCAGGAGTGGACCCCGAAGGGTTGAGGCCAGGCCTGGAGGCAGGAGTGGGGTGGGGGCTGTTCTGCCAGTAGTGCAAAGCAAGAGCAATCGTGCCAAGGACCCTGCGTAGGCCCCGGGTCAGGGATCCCAGCCCCCAGGGAGCTCCCCCTACCAGCCCCTCCTGGGGGACAAATCTCCATTGTTCCTTGGGAAATCCACCATGGATGTCCCTTTTCTTGCCTCACGTGCCTTATTAGAGCAAGAAGCAGAACGGCTCTCCTCTGGCAGGACACTGCCGGTCAGCTGCCTCACCTCTTCCGGTATTCTTCCTCTCCAGCCCTGGGACGGGCGAGGCCGGCTCCTTGACCCTGTGCACTGCTCCTAGTCCAACACAAGCCTCTGTGGCCCTCGAAGCCAGACAGTCCCAGTCCTCCCTGACTGGCCTCCGCTTCCTCTCAAGTGGCCCCAGGCCCCCAGTCACCTGAGAGTTGGACACTGTGATCTCAGGATGTGGGGTCAGAACCCAGCCTCCTCGCAGGGGCACAGTCTGCCAGCAGGGACAGTGGGTCAAGTATATCCCTTCTTTCCTTAATGCTCATGTCTCTGAGGGCACAGCCACCAGCCATCCTGATGCTGCCTGATAGATGTTGTCGTCAGGCTGGGAGGCCCTGGATTAGGACCTGCAGAGCACAGTGTGATCCTTCTAGAGCAGCCAGACCCGGCCTGCCCAGGTTCCCTGAGCTGTGCAGGCCCCAGCAGCCCTGGTGTCGACCTGACGGTGTGGGAAATGGAGCTGGTCATCCCCCAAATGCCAATGGGAGGGTCCCTCTTCCTGTGCGTGCAGGTCGTCATCCTCGTGGGAGGGGTGCCCTGGCCCTGCCCACCCACCCATGCTCATGCCCCTGCCATCTGTGTGCTCCTGACTGCAGAGCTTGCCCAGCCCTGCTGGGGATGGCCAGAAGCCTCCACTCCGGAGGCTGGGAGAAGACACCTGAAGCTGGACAGGGCTTTGTCTGGGAGCCAGCACTGCTGAATAATGAATTCCGATTCCATGTGCCCGCCCAGGCTGATGGCTGGGTGCACCGCACACACACACACACACACACACACACACACACACGCACGCACGCACATGCTGGGCTGACTACTCGGAGGGGCGGGGCTGGCAGGGCTGGGAGGCTCTGCGAGTCGCTGGAAGGAGCCGTTGCCTTGGACTCTGTGGGCAGCACCGGGAGGAGGCAGCAGCAGTAGAGAGGAGGGAGGCGTGTGCGCAGCGCTCCACCAGACAGCTCCTTCCCAGCTGCTTGGCCGGCAGTGCCCAGGCCGTCTGTACCAGCATGGCCCTGCTTGTCCACCTCAAGAGCGTCTCGGAGCTGAGGGGCAAGGGCGACCGGATTGCCAAAGTGACTTTCCGAGGTAGGGAAGCCCATTTCTCAGTGGGGTCCCAGCCCCATGAGCTGGCCCAGCCTGTGCTCTGGAGGCTGAGGGGGACAAGACAGGGCAGGAGGACTGGTGGCAAAGTTCTAGAAGGGACTGGGGCTCTTCATGCCAGCCACCTGTCCTGGCCCTCTAAAATGCAGGGCCCCCATGTTTCCTCGTCTGTCTCTCCTTGTGTGTGCCAGGGTGCCAGGGCACTGCAGGGTGCAGAGCCTTCTGCTCAGGAGACGCAAGGGACCCTGGTTGGGTAAAGGAAGCCCCAGGACCGAGGGCCCTGCCTTGCAGAGCCTTGCTGGACCCTCTCCCCCTTCCCCTGGCTCTTCCCCTCCCTCTCCTGCAGGTTGGTTTTCTCAGGCACAGGCAAAGGTGGGTCTGGACCCAGAAGTCCCAGGGTGGTTGGTAGAAGCCATGGCAGCCAGTGGCTCTCCGGGCCTCAGTAGGCTGGGAACACTGTAGGCTTCTCCCAGGTCTACCATGTTCCTGGGCTGTGGCCCTGTGGACCTCAGCCTCTCCTCTGTTGATTGTCTTCCTATCTTCTTCTTCATGTATGCGCTCAGTGACTACTTAGTACGGCTGCTGTGGACCAAGGCTGAGGGCTGGGAAGGTAAAATCCATGCCTTAAAGAGCTGCATCTGTTGGGATGGGAGTACCACTGGCCAGCAAGCAGGACAGGCGTGAGACACAGGGAAGCTGGGGACAGCAGCAGAATGTAAGCTACAGAAGCAGCAGCCTGCCCAGGCTGGTGGCTGGTGGTCAGGGAGGGCTTCCAGGAAGAGGTGACACTCATTTGGTGTCCAAGGGACGAGCAGGAGGGAGCGAGGAGAAAAGGTGATGACTGAGAAGGTAGAGGGAGCAGCGCCTGAGGCTGGGAACGAAGCAGGAACACAGAGCCCACAGGGAGCTTAGGGACTGAGGCTGCAGAGCCACGCAGAGCTGAGGAGGCAAGGTGAGGCCTCACCTAGGAAGTGGGGAGCCCCTGAGGACTGTAGGCCAGGCTTACCTCTGCCATCCACCCACTCACCTGGGCCAGGGCATCTCCACAGCCTTTAACCAAAGGCCAGGACCCCAGACGTGGCCTCTCAGAGAGCCCATTGAGGCTCTGAGAGTGGGAGGGAGGGGACAGAGCAGGGAGAACCACAGTAAGAGCCAACTGCACCCAGCCCGAGGCTAGACACAGCCTGCGCTCTGCCAGGAGGAGAGGTAAGATGCGGCACCCCCGGCCCAAACCCTCCAGCAGAAGCCGGGCAGTCCTGTCTCTCTCACAGCCCTCGCTGTCCAGCTGCAGCCCTCTGGTCACAGGGTCAGGCACAGGCCGGGGATGAAGGGTGGGCGAGGCTTCCCAGCCGAGCTGCAGCTGCCCTCTCTGCAGCACCCTGCCTCTCTGTGTGCCGCCTGCTGGATCACGCTGGCTTCAGGAAAAAGACAAATTCGTCCTTTCATCCATGAAACACCACCCCATGTTCCACACACAGCACAGAGCTCGGCTGTTTAGCTCCAGGGTGCTGTGTTCCACCATTGTGCTGGGACAGTTCAGACTGCTCAGGGCCAGACCTGTTCGCAGGCAGAGAACCAAGGTGTAGAGAGGCAGCCTGATCTTAGAGGAGAGGCTGGGGTACGGTGGCCCTAGCTTGCAGGACTTCATCCAGGATGCTCAATCGGGCAAACTCTTCCATCTCCTCCACACTCAGCCAGGAGTGAGCACCACGTTCCCCGGAAGCCCACCTTGGCCTTTGAGCAGCGAGGCTGACCATCCAGGGTCCAGGAATTAGCCTACCTGCAGCCACGCCCTCTAGGTGGTGTGGGGAAATCCCCTGCTGGGCTCTGGGGATTTTGCTAGCCACAGCCGCCGCTCCTGGGGAAGGGAGTTGAACAGCAGGAATACAGGCAAAGAACAACAGGTTTCCAGAAAGAATCCTGTATTATAAGCAGGGAGGCCTCAGCCAGTCACCTGCTACATCCAGCATTTGGCAACTATAGGCCCCCAAAAGACTGACACCAGCAGTCAGAGGGACTCGTCGCTCTAGAAGGTCCTACAGCACACCCTGATGGGAGGACCACCGGGGGCGCAGCAAATGCTCTGCAGAAAGAACTAAGAAACTCAGTGGTCGGGGCAGGTGCTGGCTCCAAGCTCCCCAAACCCCTGAGGGAAGCCCAGTGCCTGAGTGAGGGACAGGCCTGGGACCCTGAGGGTGCAGGAGTCTCAGTCCCTGCCCTCAGGGGTTACAGTCCCGTTGGACTACACAGGAGATGCAGAGGCTTGCACTTTGACCCCTGTTGTGCCTGTAGCTTTCCCAGTAAAACACTAGAGCCGACAGCCTGCATGTAACTCAGAGGCCTGCAGGAGGAGCCAGGCGAGGGCTCTGTGGGAAGGAGCTGTCTCCATTCCAGAAAGTATTAGCCTGAGATGTGTCTCTTCTTCATTGTATAATTGCCACATTAACTGCAGAGCCACGGAACATAGGGTGGCGTCTGAGTTTTTCTAGTCCACCTTTCTGTCCAGCACTTAGCCCCAGTGAGCCCCCAGGACCTGGGCTCCCAGGGAACCAGCGCTGTCATCTTCCTTTCCCTTCCATCCCCTTAATCTTCTTCCAGTTTGTAGATCTTCCTTGGACAGGGAGTTCTGAGGTGGAGCTCGCAGTCAGGCAGCGGAGCCAGGGTGGCAGTTTTCTGTGGAGGAATTTAAAGGCAAGGTTGGGAACTTCACACGGGAGACAGCGGCTTCTGAAGGCCAGAGCTGAGCTACAGGTAACTCACCTGGGCAGCTCGCTGGCAGAGGGGACTGCTCCAGAGAGGTTTTCCCTGGGGCTCAGCCTCAGTTCTGCCTTTTCCTCCCACCCCACCCCCGAACTCCCACACTACTACGTTCCCACTATGCTTAACTTCCCGCTGTCCCCAAGGAAGCCAAGCCTTCTACATCAGCCAGCCCTGAGACATCATGCTCGTCAGCCTAGAATGACTCTCAGCCTCCACTTTGAGAATCTCCTTTAGTTCTGAGCACCTTCAGGCCCCAGTCATAGGCCACCCCCTCCAGGAAGCCTTCCACTTCTGCTGCAGAGGCAGAGCCACAGCCAAAGCCATTCTGGGTGCCAGAGGCCAGCAGAGGGGACCCCGGGGCAGAACAATGGCTGTGCCTGAGCAGAGGCTGCTGGGAGGTGGTGGATGGGAGAAAGAGGCTGTTAGGAAGCAGAGTGGCACCAGCTGGCACCTGTGCTGGCAGGGACTGGGACCCAGCCTGGGCACTTCGCATGGTTACAGGGACCTCCTCAGACTGCTGCTTAGATGTATTTTCCCCAGTGAAATGGAGGAGCTCTCCTCTTGATAGATACAACTTCCATCTGGAAACTTCTCCTCTGTCCCTGGCGAAGGAGGCAGAGTATCCCTGTGGCCCTGCCCCCAGGAATGCTTCTGGATGCCTGAGCCTACCAGTGGACTCTGGTCCAGCCTAGCACCCTACATCCATCAGCTTTTTGTCACAGGGAACAAATACTCGACATATACAACCTAAGGAGGAAGGGTTTACTTTTGCTGGTGTTTCCAGCGGCTTCAGTCCACCGTGGGCTGGCTCCAAAGCAGAAACACCATGACGGACCAGGGTGCAGAGCAAACATTCTTAGTCCACAGCAGCCGTGAAGCAGAGCAGGGAACAGCTCCGGAGAGGAAGGTGCCAGGGACCAGACACTGCACCCAGTATCCTGCCTCCACCACCCACTCAAACACACCCTGCAGTGTGCCTTACTGAGCCCCTAGGCAGCTCCCAGGCCAAGTGAGCTGCCCATCCAGCTTAGCAGCCACACACCCACTCTTGGAGGAAGTGAGTGGTTTTGTCCCTGCTCAAGGCAACAAGAAAAGGGGTCTCTGAGGGCAGCCTCTTTGGCCCAGGCCAGGTCTGGGGCAGCGGTGGGCACAGCTCTGTGTTTTCGCCATAGGCAGAGCACCAGAAAACCTCCAGGCTTTGAATGAGAGGAGTGTGTTCTCATGCTGGGCAAGTGATTGCTCTCAGCAAAAATACTGTCTGAAATGAGCAGAGAAAGCGTGAGAATAATTTCCCAGAACGGGGAAGGCTTGGTTCTCTCATCTGCCTTTACTGGTAACATCTCCTACCTGCACCCATCCCTGGGTCTGAAACTTTTGTTTTTCCTTTAATAAGAAAAGCTTTGTCAGGCATGGGGGTGCTTGTGGTCCCTCATAATCCCAGCACTTGGGAGGCTGAGGCAGGAGGATCACTGTGAGTTCAAGACCAGCCTAGGCCACTTATGAGTTCAAGGTCAGCCTGGACTACATAGTGAGACCCTGTCTCAAAAACCCCCCAAAATTAAATTAAATTAAATTTAAAAATAAGAAACTTTACATATATAAAAGCTTTAAATATATGAAAGAGTAGGGAGAATAATCCCATCCAATTTCAATAATCATTGATGTCATGGCCAATCTTGTTCAATTTATTCCTTCTTTTACTTCTCCACCCTCAATTATTTTGAAGGAAAAAAACCATATCATTTCATGTGTATTCATTGTATAGCTATAAAAGATAAGGGTTTTTAAAATTCTTATATTTTATGATTCTTAAAATTTAAATAATTCCTTAATGTTATCAAATATTCAGTCAGAGATCAATGTTCTAATCACGCTTTCAGTGTAGAGTTGTATTCCAGTTTATTGCGACTTCATTTTAATGTGTCCCGAAAAGTGAATGTTCAGTGCTTCGATCACTCGCTGCTTCATTCGTCCAGTAACAAATGTTTGTCAAGGGCCAGCCACTGCCCAGGCACGTCGTAGACCCTGGGAGGCAGCAGGAAATGAGGCAGACCTGGTTCCTGCCCGAGGGGAAGGCAGCCCTGCACAGACCCTGTGAATGTACAAAGGAGGATGGATGAGTGCCAGGGCAGGGTGTGGCACGAAGACCCCACAAAGACCCCACGAAGACCGGAAGGCTGAGAGGCTGCCCTGAGAGAGCGCACGGCAGCAGGGCAGCCGTGGTG